GCAAAGTTGCAACCATCTTTTTATTTTCAATATAATAATAATGCAAGGATATCGACAAGATTTTGAGTACAATCGAATGAAGATAGATGCTTGGTGAGATCTATTTACATCCACAACCACTGAGAGACTAGATAGTTCACTAAACATTAAAAGAGGCATGTCGTGAGTGAGATTATATTTCATACGAATAAATATTTTAAAAACTATCACTTTATCTATGTTAATGGTTGAGAGGGAGCACAACTATGCATTATGAAGATGAAAGTTGAATTTGAAGAATAAGATGTTGATGCAACTTCTACCCCGTCCTCTCTTCTTTGATATGAGAACTTTTTCTCATAGGAGATATGGTGTTTTTTATGTGAAATATACGAGAATAGGAAAATTTTATGAGGCTTGACTTGGTTAGAATGACTCCATTAGTATGAGTCGTATATTATAAATGATGACATTTCTTATATTTAGATAAAACATGTATACAACAAAATAACTCATGAACTGTGAAATATGAATTTAATTATTAAAATAGGAAGGCTGAGGTATTGAAGTAATCTTAAAGAGATTGTTATAACTACTTAAGTATTCTTCTTATAAGAGAAAAACAAGCGACGAAGAATGTGAGCATTTACCTAAGCAGATATCACACATGTCAGCATTTGTGTCAACTGTAAGAGTCTAACTTTTTTGTGAATGTACATGTCAAAATTGATAGTGGCTATAGGTATCAACGTTATGTCAAGCACCAGTGTTAATATAAATGTTGGGCATTGATGTTGGATGTAAGAAATATGTGACAATCTAATTGGCAACAACAAGCATCAACATTGATATCAATATATATTAGGATGGGTGTTTTGTATTAACATCAAGCATCAACATTAGTGATACTATTGGGTGGTGATGTTGGTATCAATAGCCTTACATTAGTGTTATTGATAATGTTAGGCATCGGTGTTTGTGTTGATTGTGTAAGTCAACCTCGTTATCATTGACATCCATCAAAACTATTGGCGATGATGGGTGTCAATATTTGTGATGATGGGCGTTGACATTGTTGGTGTAAAAAATGTACATTAACATTACAGTTAATGACATGTGTCAATCTTATTAGTGATACAATTAATCAGTGTTGATATCGATGGTATGTATTGACTTTGTTGTTGACAATGAAACTCATCATTTTTTATGATGGTTGTTATCAACATTATTGTCAAATGCAGGTGTGGACATCATGTTGAAGTCAATGATATGCGACACATACAAGAATTTATTAAAACATTGGTAGTTATGACAAACACAAGAATTGATTTCAACAATGGACATCGATGTTTGTATTGACATCAACGTCAAAATTGGCATCAAAGTTAGGTATCATTTGCGTTGTTATCAATACCAAGTGTTAACATTGGTGTTGATGTTGGGTGTTATTAATATTATTGATAAGCCTTAACGGTGAAGCCGGGCATTAATAACAAGCATCTACATCTGCGGTGCCATGAAGGGTTGATGTTGGTTTTAGGTTCCGACATGCAGAACTCTTGATCACTTAACTTAGAATCCTTCTTGTGGTCTTACCCCCGCCCTCTTCAATGTGTAGAAAAAAATTCTAGGCGATTTATAGATTTCTAGAGAAGTATCTACTACTAATTTTGTCTAAGGATTAAAACATTCTAAGAAATAATCATCATGAATTCCATAAATCATAAGTACTCTTTCAACATTTTAATATCTTAGTTCGAGCTCAACCCGACTCGACTCGAAAGCTTATCAAGCTACTTGATATAATTATATATATTATATTATAATATTATTTTTTTTATAATATTTGAAAGCTTATTTTATAAAAAATCCTATCCGCAGCTACAAATTTTCAAACAAGCTCGATCTCGAGCTCGAGCTTTTCAAACGAGCTCGAGCTTGATATTTCCTAAACGAGTCGATCTCGAGCCCACTTATCGAGCTCGAACTTGAGCTCAACTCATTAAGGATTAAACGAGCCAGACTTGATAAGGCAAATACTCGACTCGTTTACACCCCTAGATCCAAATTAGATGCTACGTCACTATTATTACTAGACTGCTACAGCAAACCTATCTCGGCATTTGTTTTTTTCTGGATACTTTTCAAAAGGAGATAAAGAATGGAGGCCTACGTAAGGGTTATAGGAAAAATATAAATATAAATCTAACTTAGGATAGATTTCATCTCAATGAGATGAATCTAAAGAATCTAAGATCTAATTATTGTAATATCATTGAAGCATGGAGAAGCCTAAACAAATGAATGATTAATGGGATATCATTTTACTCATTAGAGAAGGTCATAGATGAGGCCTTAAAAGGAATTTCAGAGGAGAAAGTATGAAGCTCTATATATTAGCACCTAATGCATGTTGTCAAATATTATCAAACTTCATCATCATCGGTAAGGGTGACCCAAATTTTCAACTCAAACGCCCATTGGCAACACCAAGCAAACACACATCATCATAAAAAATATTGATGTATGCCATCACCAATAAAGTTGGCACCTGTCTTCACCACCAAAGCCGATGCGGCATTTAACACATACTACAATGTCCATCATCACTTAAACATCGACATTTGTTATCAACATCAACTACAATGTTTTATGAAAATTCTTGGAGGAAGCTTGAACTTCTTGTAAGAGAGAGAAAGAGAGGGAAGAGTACTAACAGGAAATCCAATTCATTTTTTTAATTGGGCTTATAAGAGGGGGTTCATTTTACAACATCTTATACATCCTATATATAGGAACTAAACACCATTGTGCTGTCTTGCGAAACATCGTAAGTAAAAATCGGGCCAATATAATACAATGCCCACCTTGGTTCGATTTTAACATCAAAGAATCACCCGTTTACAAAATCTCAAGCTTGGTGCAATTCAATCGGCTCTCTGCATTAACTCCACGAGCAAACCCACTAAATCAAGCCCAATCCTGCTCACGAACGGTCTCCACAATACATTCTGATCCACAACTCCAGCTCACTCTCCCACGCATTCTAAACCACATGAGCTTGCATCCCTCATTGTTCCTCCCATGTTTCGCACGCTCGTGCCTTGTGCATCACCTACTCCCGTGCAGCATAGAGGCGCTCCTGCACCGAGCAACATCTGGCTCGTATGTCTTCCCCAAGTACTTATGTGTGCTCCAGTCTGCAACTTCACACAATCCACCCATCCAATCCTAAGTCCGGTGCTTGCTTCTTGTGCACTCCTGTATGATCTACTACGAGGTTCTTGAACCTGCAACCACGACTCCAATCCGCTTGAACACCCATGTCCGACAACCCACCCATCCAAGTCTGACCTTAAGGCTCCTCTTCAAAAGATCTAAACCGATCTTTAATCAAGAAAAAGTCCTTAAATCTTCGACCTCTGGTCCAATCTAGATCAATTCTGTGCTTCGCACACCCGTGGCCCCATTTGTGCCTAATCCACAGCATGATCCTGCCTCCTTGTGAGCGATCTGACCACAAATCTGCGGCCATGTCCACTCTTGTGCAAAAATGAACGAGCTTTCGACCACCCCGCATCTTCCATGAGAATTCGCGCATCTAATCAGGCATGCCACAAGCCCTGTGCATTCGCTCTTCCCGACCTGTGGCCTTGAACTCGCTAGTGAAATCAACGATCTTGACTTCCATTCAGCAATTTCGGCCTGCTCACTCTGGACCTATTCAAGCGCCAGCTAGACCACGTGCTCCCCGCATCTGGGCGCCCCCGCGCCCCTCACCTAGAAACGGAACCCTTCTCCTGCTTTGGCCCAACATGTGCCTACGATAAGTCTGCCGACCAGATCAACACGATCCGCCTACACCTATGCTCCCATGCGTGTTTGCCACGACTTGGCCAGCTGCCAGCGCTACAGCTCGTGACCGCAAGCCCTTGCCTGGGCCTCTTCTTGCTTTCTTGAATAAGAACCTTCCTCCTTAGCCAGATCAGCTCCACCAGACTTTGATTGCACTTGTTATGAAATTGAAGGAAGAAGAAGCTTCTTCTTTGCTGCAAGTAACTTTTCACCAAAGAGAGAGAGGCAAGGGAGGAGAGGCAGAGAGGAGCTAAATGAATTAGAAATTCCTTTATTATTGAGCTTATTACCATGGATTTACTTACATCACAATGACACCTCTCTATACATAGAGTATATAAGATATGATGAACCTAGGAATAATATAACTAAAATCAAAGTAATATATTACACAATGTCTGTCGTCACTAGCACCCCATGCAAGTTATTGCCAACAATGTCAACAACCGACGTTGCTATCAAGGCCAATGCTCACCTTCCTAGTTGTTGATATTCGATCCTATAAGGAGAACGATCAAGTTGACCATCATATGCCAACTCTTAACCCATCAAACCTCCTTGTACTTCTATCAATCATAGAAATAATCTCTAATAATCATGTCCAATATAAAGCATAATGCATTCTCCCACTATATATGATGAAGGACATCTTTTTTTAATATACAACTCACTCTAATAAAATCATTTCACCCATGACCTTTTCCCTTATTGATATTTTCACATAAAAATCTCATATCTCATATAATTGCTAATAACCTACTTATCTGTGTGAAAATTTTCATATAATAGTAGGGGTGATGAACATTGCTCGTGATAAAACATTTTCTATGTGCTAAATCGCTCAGCTAGCATTGGGAGAAAATATTTTATGTGAATGCCGAATGTCGTTTAGAGATCAATCAGAATACGCCACGTCATATCTTCGTTATGTATCGCAGCTCGATACTGCTCGGTACTGCTCGATATCGCAGCTCGAAACCACTCACATGAACTTCCTCCGCATAGAACAATATCCCCCACGTTACACATATTGGAAGGAGCGTTGAAAATCCTTATCTGTAAGAAAAGTTAAATTATCCACATCTTATCCTATTTACCACATCATAGCCATCGAAGACCAACGTGTCCGTCTCATCCTAACAAAATACCGCTAACTATAAATAAATATAAACAAACACATGAAAGGTACCTCCAGAAATCTGCCGCTTTGTTCTCTCAGATCTCACGCCTCAACAGAGAACCAGTGATAAAATCTGTGAATCAAAATGCTTGCAATTTTCCAAAAATGCCTCGCCCACCCCCCTGAAGAGCTCAACAGCCCCCACGCCCATGGCGGCATCAAGAAATCAGCCAAGCAGCCACAGGAAATCCTTCGCGACTTCCACTTATACCATCCCACCGCCTCCTTCTCCGCCAGCTTCAGCGGCGGTGCTGCCATCGCCTCCGCCGGTGCTGACCCCCGCTGTTCACCCTTACAGCAAAGGTAAACGAACATATTTTCATTTTTCAATCCCATTTAGTTATCGACGAGTGGTTCCGATCGAGCTGAGCTGTGTATGAGTTTGCTTGCAGGTTGTTCTGCGGCCTGGACGAAGTCTACTGCATTTTTGTGGGCAGATTGGATAATCTGAGCTCCCTTATAAGGCAATACGGCCTCTGCGGCAAGTCGTCAAATGAAGCAGTTCTCGTCATCGAAGCCTACAGGACGCTCCGCGACCGCGGGCCGTACCCGGCCGATCAGGTCGTGAAAGACCTCATCGGCTCCTTCGCCTTCGTCATCTTCGATAACAGAGTCGGATCCGTTTTCGCAGCACTGGTATTTGTTATTAACTCTTCTTCTACTCCTAAATCAGGAGGAGGCTATTGGTTATAATGCTAGGGTTTGACGTTCTGCAGAGCGAGGACGGGAAAATACCTCTGTATTGGGGAATCGCGGCGGAAGGATCCGTTGTCATCTCCGACGATGTTGATGTGATTAAGGGCGGCTGCGGCAAGTCCTTCGCGCCATTTCCTCCAGGTTGGCTAGTTTTGTTTTGTGCCGGCGCAGGACAGGTGTTTGTGGAAATGCTTATGTGTGTTTTTGGATGTTCAGGGTGCATGTTTCACAGCGAGGGTGGGCTGAAGAGCTTCGAGCGGCCGATGAACAAGATGAAGGCGATGCCTAGGGTTGATAGCGAGGGGGCGATGTGCGGAGCGTTCTTCAAAGTTGATTCCTGCGCCAAAATCAGCTCCATGCCGAGGGTTGGAAGTGCAGCTAATTGGAGTTCCTGGGAAGAGAAGCTTTGATCTTTGTGTTTTGTGGTTACTAAATCTGAACAGTTTCAATTTCTGCCTGTTATGTTCTATTGTTGTCTTATTTAGGTGGAAATAACCCTTATTGTATTTACCAAATCAGAATATATTTCAATAACAATTCTATGTAAGATAAATATTATTTTGCCCTAAAAGATCATGCACTAAACTTCTCTAAGCTGAAAAAAATTCTCCCAAAGTTGGCCAAGAAATGAAAATATACAGGAAGCCTGTTAGTAATGAAGCGGGCGTTACAACAAAGCTCGACAATTCAGAGAGTTGCAGAAAATTAGTCTAATGAGGAGCAAAAAAATTAGAACTGCATCAGAGAAGAAAGCCCACAAAGAATTGGAGAGATTATTATGTTGAGGGATCAGACATAAAGAACTGTTAAGTTTTGTCGCTTTTATTATTCACAGAGATAAAAATAAATGGTTCTTTGTGTCTGATCTCTCCGCACATAATAATTTCTCTAAAGAATTAAAGGTGTAAAGCATTACATTAAAGTACCGAATTTGATGTTTTAATGAACCTATTTTATTTGGGATGATTTTTTCAGTGTTTCTTAAAATAAATTTTTAGTACAAACATTTTAATTTTTATACTAAAATATTAATTCTAGACACTGTAAGAAAGTCAATCCCAAATGAATCCTTAGAAATCATAATTTCAACCAAGGTGGTGTTGTTACAAGAAATCCTATTGGTTATCACTACTTAAAGATAATAGGTAGTAATATGTGTTACAAGAAGGATGAACCTGTTACTGAGCTTATCGATAATCTCTTCAGTTTAATGAAGAAGTTCAGTAAAATTATATCCCAATTTAAAGAAGTTTTCATCCTAAATTAAGTTTTATGAATGTAAAAGAGTATGCGCAATCAAAGAACAAACAAGAGGAAATTTATTATGTGCATTGCAAAAAAAAAAACCATAAACAAAAAAAAAAAATTATTTGTTTTCTTTGTAAAAGTTTTGAATTAATTTCATAAATATAAAATTCATTATAATGATTGGCAATTTTAAATTTTATTTACATATATTTGATGCACATACAATAATACTAGCATATATAATATATATTTTTTAAAAATCCACATTTGCTTTAACAAGTTTAGGTGGACTAAACTCATGCTAATTTTTTAATATAATACTATAATTTTTAAATATATCAAAATTCTCACCAATGTGAATTTTTTAAGGATAAAATATTCTTTTATTTTCATGTATATATTTAAACATGATTAGCAAAATAAATAAATATTAACATAGTTGAATCTGCTACATTTGAAAGGCTTCATATGAGTTGATTTGAGATGACTTTCTTACTGCTTCTTAAACAAATTTTTCATAAAAATTTAAAATTTTTGAACTAAAAAAAGTAAGAAAGCCATCCCAAACAAAACCTTAGACTTAATTTGAGAAAACAAGTGGCAAAGGGTGAAGCGGACAGAGCAGGTTGAGGAAGGGTGTGATTGAGTGCCCATTGTTTAACAAAGAACAAAATCAATTGAATTCACTAAAGTATCTATTCAATTCTTGTTCAGAAGTTTATTTTCTTATGATATTTTATTATTAGGTGAATTTTAATTTTTTTAGACTAATCAAATAAAAAATAAAATTGATTAATTTATTCAAGTATTAAATCAATATTAACTCTAGAAATATAAATAAATAAAAAATGAGACAGCTCAAAATCCTCTCAGGTTCTAATTCAAGATAGAAATGGATGAAAAAAATTAGGGTTTTTAATATTATACAGCTTTATCCAATTACATGACAACTAAGTTAAAATGGGGACTTCTAACTCATAATGAAATGAATTGACCAATAATCTATGCCTATCTTCTAGAACTATATCCCCTTAATATAGCATATTAAATTTTATATGAAATACATAAATAAAAGCATATAAGTTCCTAAACTAAACTACACGTACCCAAGTCCCACCACACATGGGGCAACCATAAGCCCAGCGGCTGATCCACCATGCTTCGCGTTCATTAAAAGGAGATGCAGGAGTAAATGCACAGGTCTGTCGCAAACATCTGACGCACTGCAAATAAAATTAAATAAAATAAAAACCAAGATATAGTGTGCTGATCGTCCTCAAAGTGGATATACAGCTCAATTGGTTCGATGATGCAAAAGAAGCAAATAACAAGAATGGTTCATTTTGATCTAGCATGTCTTGATTACGATTAATTATTTTGTGCGATTGCTGAACATTGTTCGAAGGCCAATCAGAATGCGTCACATCACCACTTTGCTTGGTACCGTGGCTCGATAACGCTTTCGTGGCATGTTCCGGTTGGTATATGTACGGCGTTCTACGTCCGGTCTTCGCATAGAATAATTTCGTCTCCTTGATTACTGGATGACGAGATATGTCTTTCAAGGGGAAAATTATTAGGTGCGGACACTGGGCGTAAAGGTACGTCCGGACTCTAATAAAATGTCAACACGTGGATATTCAATTGGATTTATTTTTACTTTATATATTTAAAGTGTCCGTGGAACTTTAAGTCAAGCGCAACAATAGTGCAGCCAAAGCGCAGGTTAAACGCAACCAAAGTACAACTAAAGCGCAGGTAAAACACGGTAAAAAAGAGCAACAAAAGAGCAGCCAAAGCGGAACAAAACTGCAACTAAAGCGCAGGTAAATGGCAGGTCAAGCACACAAAAAGTGCAACCAAAGTGCACTCAATGTGTCAAATTTTAAGTGGATATCCGGACGTATCTCTATGTCCGGTATCCGCACCTAATAATTTTCCCTTTCAAGGATGGTATGACATATGTGGAAAGTTTAAAGTTGGCGATAAGTTTAAAGGTGTTGGCTGCTCTCCAATTAAAAGTGAAAAAAAAAATAGACAATTTAGTAGTTTGATGATGCAAGAAAAGATGGAGACCAACCTTGTACCATACACCTTCGAGACCTGTCTTCCATGTAGCAGTAACAACATCCCTTCGAGATCCCATTATGCCAAGACAAGTTCCCAGTCCTACCGAAGTTTTCAAACCAAACGCTGCATCTCTCTCTGACATTCTGCGTTTCCTCGGCCAGAGGCAGTGGCTCCCAGAAAAATCATTGTAATTCTCAACTAGTTTAGAAGCACAAGAATCTGAACAAGAAAATTTTGACTTGGTAGCGTAATCCAAAGGACCAGTATCTCCAGGATCTGACCACGGCCCACCAAACATGTTGCGTCTGTGCCATTCTTCCGCAGGAGGGTGTAGCTCCAACTCACGAAGTAAAAGACCAGCGGCATCAGCACCTCTTGGACGAGGCATATTCTGCACATAGAAAATATATCAAAATCAAGACCAGAGAGCCTAGGAAAAATCAGGTGCAGGAGAAAGAGAGGCTAATAAAAAGCAATAGGGTATTATGATAGGAAACACTTGTAGATCTCTAGTATTTCCTATCAATCTTCGGGAAACAGCGAGCTTCTACACAAAAATCCGCACAAAACCATGAAAACAATAGATAATTTGTATTATTTGATGAAAGGGAAACATAAAATAGCCGGATACAATTTATCCTCTATTCGAGAGGAGGATTGATCTCTCCCGAATCTCTAGACGCTGCTAGATCCCAAAAGAAAACCTAAATTTAAGATATGTCAAATTTCAGCCAAATTCAAGATGCCCTAGAAAACAAAGTATTTAATGCATACAAATCAAAAAGAAATCTCTAAATGATCCCTACATTCAATTTCCCTCCTAAACTTCCTCAAAATTCCTTCCTAAAATGGCTCCCGTGGACTTGCGGCTCGCACGGCATCCGTAGCAGGAGGAAAAACTCCGTTGTATTGCCCGAAAGCCGGTCCCGCATGGACCGGCTGGACCGGTCTAACATGTTAATGCTGAAATTTTTAACAAATGTCCATGAATGTTTGTATAATGAAAAATTGCAGCAGCATTTAACTTATTAGAAGAAATACTATAGACCACATGCAAGACAAGATGGTAACAAAAGATGTGTCAAAGTAGCTCCTATGAAATGCCAAAATTTGTGGAAGATTGGAATATAGAGTATGTACACCTAGAGTATTACATTACAACTAAATAGCAACAGAGCCAGAAAAAAAAAGGGATAAGACTCCACACAAACCTGCATATGGGGACCTAGAGATGCTTCTACCACCTCAGGTAGCACAGTATAATTCCCATCAATGTAGTGCAATCGTATATTTATACTGCTTGACCCAACTTGTGACGTAGGCAATGGGTGTGGCAGGGGAGATGTCCTTCTACAAAGATCTACCAGTATGCGGAACAATACTTTCACCTGCATGGAAAGAGTAACTTTGGTCATACTTCCATGGAATATGTACAAATAAAACAAAGTTCTTTTAATAGTCACAAATTGTAATGAACTTTATAAAAACAAAGCTTTTCCACAAGTGCTATGGACCCTAAACATTTGCCCTCTTGGACTCAATCTGTTACCTTATGTAACAAGCAGTGTAGTCAATTTCTAACTAAGCTTCAAGCATCAATCTTAGCAGACATAACTATGATTTCTTCATATACATAATAATTTAACATTTGTAATTGGCCCTAAGCCCACATAATAAAAATATAAAACAAATTTCTATCAGTAAAAAAATTCAATTATCCCTCTTGTGTAGTGAAAAAAATGAATGTATATATATATATAATTCTCCTCACAACTTTCCACTTACATTCAAATTTTTGAATGAGTGAGATTTAAAATATATAAGAGTCAATAGCATCATAAAAATATCCATGTGTTGTATTTTAGTTACTTTCAATTTCAATCATTTAAAATTTGAATGAAAGGTGGAAGATGCGGAGAGCTCATATCTTTCTCTACACTCATCAGCAAACTCAAGGACCTGCAAGCTTCCGTTAAACTGAAACTCCTTGTTGTAGGTGTAATATTCGAAATTCACCAAAAAAAAATAGAAGAAATCATGACCATACACATGGAAAATAACAATCAAATTCATTATTGTCGAGACATTTTAACTTCTTAAGCAAAGCTCTTAGAAAATATATTCTCAAAATATCTAGAGAAATCTCCAGGCAAGTCTTCTTTAGGAAAAACTCTTGAGAATACAAAATCACTTGAGAAATGATGGCCATTACACATCATTACAGGAGAACCCTTAACGTCAACTTTTAATAACATTAAATAGACAATGGCATTGCAAGTACAGCAAAGGAAGAAATTATAAACCATATAACAAACTGAATGAATATTACAACCAATGAAGTAATTTTCAAACAGTAAAGAGCAGCAACTCCTGAGATTAGATTCACATAAACATTTAACAAAACTTCAACTTATCTTTCCGGAGCATACAACAACAACAACAAACCTTTATCCCACTATGTGGGGTCGGCTAAAAGAATCCTTGTTCTCTATTATGTCCTATTAAGAGCAAAATTTTCATCTAAATCTAATAAAGAAATGTCATTTCTAATATTTTCGAACCAAGTCTTTTAAGGTCCACCTCAACCTTTCTTAACATAAGTCAAATCTAATACATCTACTTTCCTAACCGGGTCATCGGAAGGCCGCCGTTTTATGTGACCAAACCATCGAAGGTGACTCTCTCTAATCTTATCTTTCACTGGAGCTACTCCGACGTTTTCACATATATGCTCATTTCATATCTTGTATCAAAGAGTAAAGCAATTATCCACCTGAGCATCCTCATCTCTGCAACACTTAACTTGATATTATGCTTTCTTTTAATGGACAACATTCTGCACCATAAAGCATTGCTAGTCTCACTACCATCTAGTAGAATTTTTCGTAAGTTTGAGAGGGACTTTTCTATCACACAACAAGCTCGATGCATTCCTCCACTTCAACCATCCAACTTGAATTGTACTAATAATATCCATATCTACTTCACCATCACTCTGAACAATAGACCCAAGATATCTAAAACGTATACTCTTATTAATGACTTGACCAGCCAAAGTCACAATCCCTCCCATTAGATCTATTATTACTAAAATTACACTCCATATATTCAGTGTTAGCTCTACTCAAACGAAAGTCTTTAGACTCTAATGTTGACCATCATAATTCAAGTTTACCTTCAACTCCCTCTCTAGTCTTATCAACAAGAAGGATATCATCACCAAAAAGCATACACCATGGTACAACCTCTTACAAATGTCTAATGAGAACATCCATGACTAACACAAAAATATATGGGTTTAAGGCTAATCCTCGATGTAATCCAACTGAAATAGGAGAAAACTTGGTCAAAACACCTTGTGTTTGAACACAAGTAACAACTCATGCATACATATCCTTAATAACTTTAATATAAGCATTATTAATCTTTCTTATGTAGAACTCTCCATAGCACTTCTCTTGGAACATTATCATATGCTTTCTTTAAATCAATAAATATAATATGTAGATCCTCATTCTACTTCTTCATCAAACCTCTAAATAACTATATAACTTCTATAGTAGACCTATGTGGCATTAATCCAAATTGATTTGAGAAACATTAGTATCACGCTGCAACCTATGCTCCATAACTCTCCCACAGTTTTAAAGCATGACACATTAACTTAATTGCTCTATAACTCGCAGACTCTTGTGATCACCTTTATTCTTAAAAATAGGAATCAATACACTCATTCTCCACTCATCTGACATCTTTTTAGTCTTCAAAATAATATTAAAAAGTTTAGTAAGCTAAGAAATTCCTTCATCTCTTAGGCATTTTCACATCTCTGTTGGAATATCATTAAGTCCAACAGCTTTTCTACACTTCATTTTCTTTGAAGCCTCTTTAACTTCAGTTTTACGAATACACAGATAAAAATAAAAATCTTTAATTTCATTTAGGATGCTAGGATTACTAAAGTCAATCATATTATCATAATCTTTATTGAAAAATTTAGCAAAATATCACATCCACCGTTGTTGAACATCCTGTTCTAATAAAAAACACTTTTTGAACTCCATCCTTAATACACTTCACCTGGACTAAATCTTTACTACCCCTCTTTGTTTAACTAAATTATACATATATCTTTCGCTCTACTTAGTCTCTAATATATTATATAAATCATTAAAGATAAAATATTTGCATTGCATATTGCTTTCTTAAACTCCTTATGGGTCTCTTTATATATTTTTCAATTATCAAAATTTTACTGCTAAACCAATTTTTATAACAAATCTTCTTAATTTTTATAATTTTCGAGTTGAGACCGAAATTATTAAAATTCTTGAGGCAAAGAATCCACCCAACAAATTAGAGGATCAACTTAAAAATCAACAAGTACATAAGTGTAGATGATGTATATGAATTTGAATAACCTACCAATTTTCTATCGAAAAGAGGAGGAATAATAGCAATACCAGCAACCAAATCAACAAAAACATTTCTTCTAGGCCAAAGAAGAAGAATAGGAGAATTGACTTCTCCAACCACAAAAGTTAGCTTAGGAAGCACTTCTCCAACCACAAATGTTAGCTTAGGAAGCAACCACCTGTTAACCCCAGAAGGCCCTAGCTAGTAGCACCTCCTATTAGATATTTTTAACGTTTGCATGCCTCCACTAAATCATCATTAAGGTAATCCAAAATAATAGTATTTCAAATGGCTAACAATGAAGTATCATTAGAGGTTTGCCACAAATCTAAGTTCTCCATCACAACAACCATGACCATGATCACGAAATTGAAGATTGCAGAGTTCTCAAAACACTACTTGAGAAATTAACAAAGGAAATTCACTTTAAGGAGTATCTTGTCGAAATTTTTGCGCTGTCAAGCAATCTGCAAAGGAGTCGCGTGTCATGAACTTTACTTGAGAAATAGTGTCAACAAAAACATAATTTTTCAAAAGTGTCATCACTTATAAAGTACCAGAACCATTTGCATTAATCTAGCTTGTCTTAAATGTATCGCTAAAAATTCACATCATTGTAAGATTCTAAGAACAAATATTGGATGTCACTTGTTGCATCATATTGAACCGCCATTAAAAGATAACTTTACACTATGATAGGAAGTGCTGGTAGAAGTTTAGGAAAAGCCTTGGCTAAAATCTAATTTCAATATTTTCAGAAAATCAATGACAAGAAAATCAGAAATTGAGCACACAAGAACACATTTTTCATTGAAAGTTTTATGAAATAAAGACAAGATACAAGTGGATCTTCAATTGGAGAGGAATATCGAGCTCTCCCAAATCTATAACCGTCGGCTAGAGCCCAAACACCCTAAGAAATACCTAATTCAGCAAACAACACATATCCCTAACCCTAGAAAAATCAACTACTTAAAGCAAATAATAAACAACAAATACCCAAGCAACCCTCCCCCAATTCCCTCCCAAATCTATCATATTTCCTTAATTATTTTCCTCCCAAATTAGCCCTCAAATCAAACTCCAAATCTATCTTCTTCAATTAGGAAACATTTCCTAGTTGATCCCCTTCAAATCAGCCCCAAATATGTCATCTTCAATTAGAAAACATTTCCTAATTAATCTCCCTCAAATAAGCCCTTTTCAATAAAAAAATATTTCTTGATTAATCAACATCCAAACAAGCCAACTCTCCTATGTCTCTCGCTCCCGCCAGATCAATACTCCCTCCACCCTCCTCTCTCCCAAAAAAAAAAAACACACTTTGTCCTCAAGGTGGAATGATGGAAAATAACCGATAAACACCTTTTCTCGAAGGGGGAGGGGGACCTGGCTAGCCCCAAGTCTCGAACCTCCTCCAGGCTCTGCAGCACCACCAAGTAGCCAAGCCCTGTTCCTTGTATCGCTTTGACCATAGTTTTGGACAGGCTATGATCCCCTAACTTTCCTCCCTTCAAACTTAAACTCCAACTTTAGCATATGCCAATCAATCTTGGTCTTTCCCAACTTCTGCAGTCATTTCATTCTCAAGATGACACACAAGAACATTTTTTTATTGAAAGTTCTATGAAAGAAAAACAAGATACAAGTGGATCTTCAATTGGAGAGGAAGATTCGACTCTCCTAAATATCTAGCCGCCGGATAAAGCCCAAACACCCTAAGAACAATCAAAATTCATCAAACATCACATACCCCTAACCCTAGGAAAATCACCAACTTAAAGTAAACAATAAACAACAAATACCCAAACAGCCCTCCCCCAAATCTCTCCCAAATCTATCATATTTCATTAATTATTTTCCTCCCAAATCAGCTCCCAAATATGCCTTCTTCAAATACGAAATATTTCCTAAATAATCCCCTCCAAATCAGCCCCCAAATCTGGCCTATTCAATTAGAAAATATTTCCTAATTAATCCCCTCCAAATCAGCCCTCTTCAATTAGAAATTATTTCCTAATTAATCAGCCACCCTCTCCTGCGTCTCCCACTCCCGCCGTATCACACTATTGATACATGAAAACATTTTTATTAAATCCTTTAATAAATCTTTGCCGAGCTAATTAAATTATATTGGTGAAAATAAACAGTTGTGAGTTATCATTTAGACATGTAAAGAGAAGAAAATTAACCCACAAAGTCACAATTAATAAGGTTGTGTGCTTCTGGAAGTATCTTCTAAATTTGTGTGTGTATGCATGTGCATGTACTCCATTGCTGATAGCTTAGTTGTGCATTGAACATTAACTTCTATGCTTACGTAGGTCTTCCAAGATTTAACCCAGACAAATCACAACCACACTCTGACAAAGATGAACGACATGTTGACAGAACTATAATTTTAATTTGGAACTACCATCTAAGTACGAAGAAATTGACCAATTACCTCTTCCAATGTATATCCCAGTCCAGCATTTCCAGAACCTAGTCGTATAGATTTGCCTGGGTGACCTTCTTCAAGACCTTTGGCTCCAACAACCAATTGTCCTGCACGAGCCTGGCCTTCTTCTATTTTGGAAACAGCACTAACAGCAGGTTTGTTCACCATGTGTCTTTGCCGAAAAATGAGACAAAAAAGAAGCAATTGGCATAATCTGTGAAGAAAATGACAATCCCCAATAAGCCTGACTGCAGGTGTTCCAGGAAACGTTCCGGTATTTATACTAATTGGCATAAAGGAAGGAGGGCCACTGATTGGGTTTGGTGTGGTTGTTGATGATCCTCCGTCAGCAGTGTTGCTGATCTTAGCAATAGCACCTTGTACCCATGCTTGCATCTGAGAGTTTCCACTTGTGGTAGTAGCTCCACTCTGACTGCCTGTACTTTGCAGAAGCAACTCCGTCAGAGAATTGAGAAATAGTATTAGATGAAAGCCCACAAGAGAGTAGAAGGAAATGATTAGTAAACATTAGAGTTCTCACAACATATGCATTACTGGAAGAGATGGAATGACACATTTACATACAAAAACAAAAATGAAAAATAACACAAATTCTAAACAAAAAATATGTGCATAAAAGCATGAATATTTACCGCATGCTTAGAGCACAAACAATCATATAGATGTGCGTGCATTCGTGCATGTATGAAGACCTAATGTCTTTTTTGTGAAAGCAAAAAAAAAAAAAACTCAACAAAATTAATTTTGATGGTAGCCCAACCAATTTTAGCATCAAATAATCACAACAAATTTTCCACAAAAGTACAGGCGGAGCACATATTGCAACATGTATGCTTGCATGAACAAAACCTGAAGAACACAGGTAAGCATCAAGTTATATGATTGAAACGAATAAACTATATGAAATAAAATAATTAAATCCACATGAAAAGATAGTAGCTGCTTTTACAGATAAAAAGCATGCCTGGTGTATCACACTCACGGAGATGAATTCTACCACAAATAGTTGAGAAAAATCCAATGAGGATGATCATAAAGACATAAATATAATAGATGTACAGAATTATGAAAGTACTTACAATAAGTGCGCATGTATATTCATCTATACACAAAAACATTCATGTAGGCCTGCTAAAGAAGATGAACTCTAAAGTGAAGCCTTATGTATTAGAAGCCAAAATTTGAAGACGCATAAGCCGAGTCTGTGTTATAATTAAGTTGCATAAAAGTAGACAACTAAACACCCTTTTATATTTTCATTATAATAAATGGCCTTTATATTATTCTTTTGGTGGATTATTTTATATGATTGTGTGTTTAATTAAGTTAACACTAGAAATACATACTTTTTCCAAGTTCTTCTAATACTTTGCTTGAAGATGGCATGCATATGTTATGTGATGGGCTTTTCGTAGTAAATTTTCTACCCATTAAAATGTAAATAATCTTAAAATCAACTATAAGATAACATTTTTTATATAAAACTTGCATAGCTTACTAAAAATAAGCTGAGTTTTTAAAAATGAAATGCAAAGCCTCCTTGTATATTTAGGATGCAATCCATAATTTGACTGATTGATTATCCATATGAGTGCTTATCAATCATCATCAAACCTATGTATTCATTGATGAATATCATATGCATAGCCTTGTGAGTCACATATAAAAGTAAAAAACTTCACATTAAGGATAAAAAAATAGCATTATAAGTCAGCATATACATATATCATGGTCAAGCATCTTTGCCTAATTGATTAAACTGTAAATCTTAAAATCAAAATAGCCAAGCTAATCTTCTATGTGCATTGAGACAGACGCTACATTATTTTAAAATTGCTAGTGGGTTTAATCAGTTGTCCTTTATAGTCTCATGCATTTCAATAAATTTTGGTCTAAATTACACTACCTATCAATTATTTTCACCATAGATCTAAGGTCCAAGGCTGATATTCTTTTCAAATGCATTATAAGTCCTCACAATTATAGGCATTTTCTCAATCATGTGATATTGGAATTTGGAACATAAACCCCAACCTACTAGATAAAATAGGTCAAGTTCAATCTAAATTCAATCTCAAAATCTAAAGCCCAACATAAAATAATTTTGAGTACATTTGAATTTCTCAATATCAAGTACTCATACTCTTTCTTTATTTAGCTTCCACCAAAATCAATTCTAAGTTACCAATCATTCTTGAAATCTCAAAAACTAAATCTTTGAAATGAAATTCTTGAAAACTGTATAAAAATATTAGCCAATATTTTAATTTAAAAAAAAAAGCAGTATTTTAATTAGAAATTTTCTCAAGGGTCAAACACTCTTAAGATGTAATTAACCACAGGGACTTTCTCTTATGGGGAATATGGATCCTAAAATAGAATAAATCATATTCAATCAAACACCATGTAGTAGAAAATCTTTGGGCATATAAAAATAAAATGAAAATTTTGTTAGTGAGTTCATATCAAAATAATTTTTTTTCTTCAAAATAATGTATGTACTTGACCACAAAATATTCGTTGAGCGTAAAAAATTCCCCATATAATATAATCCTAGTAAACATTCAAATTTAAGCCCATTCTTATCTAAAATTAAAAAAAAAAAACTAGTAAAAAAACTTAAATTTAAACTAATGAGAAATTCAATAATAATTAAAAAGGTTTTGAAATAGACCTAATCTATATTAAAATGACCTTGCTAAACTTCATATAACTAGCCTATGGCCACTCAAGCCCTTTGTGTGTGGCAATAGAAATCTGGACACCTATTTAAAGGTGTCAATAAATGACCCGATATGACAACCTGACATAAAAAACCTCAGTTCCTATTGACTCGATTAAATTTTGGGTCAGGTCTAAATCTGAAATTTTGATTTGAATTCAGCTAACTCAAAAACTCGAAACAAACTCAAATTGACTTGATTAAAATTTAGCTCCAGTTAAATGGGTAGGGGGTTCGTGTTACATGGGCTATACTGAGGTTCATTGTATAGTGTTACAACAACAAAATCAACATCAAACCTTTATCCCACTAAGTTGAGTTGGCGATATAAACTCTTTTTCTCCATTGTGTCCTGTTAACAGTCAAATTCTCATTTAAATCTAATTAAAAAATATCATTTCTAATATTTTCTTACCAAATCTTTTTTAGGTCTACCTCTGTCTCTCTTAACATAAGCCAAATCTAATACATCTACTCTCCTAATCGGGTCATCAGAAGTCTAACATTTTATGTGACCAAACCATCTAAGGTGACTCTTTCTTATCTTATCTGACACTGGAGCTACTCCAACCTTTTAACTTATGCTCGTTTCGCATTCTATCTCTAAGAATAAGCCATTCATCCACCTGAGCATCCTCATCCCTGCAACACTTAACTTAATTGTATGCTTCTCTTTTAATGGACACATTCTATGCCATAAAGCATTGCAAGTCTCACCACCATCTTATAGAATTTTCCCTCAAGTTTGAGATTACTTTTCTATCAAACAACAAGTACGATGCATTCCTCCATTTCAACCATCCAACTTGAATTCTACTAATAATATCCCCATCTATTTCACCATCACTTTGGACAATGGACCCAAGATATCTAAAACGTATACACTTATTAATAACTTGATCGTCCAAAGTCAAAATGCCCTCATTAGATCAATTACTACTAAAATTACACTCCATGTATTCGTTTTTAGATCTACTCAAACAAAAAAATTTAGACTCTAAGGTTGACCTCCATAATTCAAGTTTACCTTCAACTCCCTCACTGGTCTTATCAACAAGAAGAATATCATCAATGAAAACCATACACCATGGTACATCCTTCTGCAAATTGTCTAGTAAGAACATCCATGACTCCTATTATTATTTCAATAAATTTTTTGTAAATAATCATAACCATAAAACACTTTATAAAAACATTTTTTCTTCAATGGATGCAGGTGAAAAGCCTACATGCATTTGAAGGGCTATTCAGTTAGGCATGAAAGAATGACTTCCCCCAAAGAGTAAAGTTTCTTGAACAAGCTTGTTTACGTACATAGTGTCCTCAAAGCAATGCATCGAAAATAAGTCATTAGGAAGTCAATTTTAAGACAACATTAAATTTGTTCCAAAAAGTAACGAGACAAAAGGTTATCTCAGCAACCTGATATTCTAATTCCAAGCAATGTGAAAGCTTTGAATTTTGTGGTATTGGTCAAACAAAATGGCACTACATATCAGAGCAAGAAGGCTTGTGCTCCGCAGTGATTACGTTAAGTTCATGTATCTAGATTCTTACATTCTAATAACGTTTGCAAACCAGTAACCACAAATTTTGATTAGGAGCACCATGTTCAAACTTGTCAAAGACAAAAAGGAATTTCAAGTTGATTTTAATTAGATTTTGGGAAGTATGGGCATGATGCACTTGGCGGAATCTTATTATAGGAATTGCTAGAGTTATCATTTAAACAGCTTGTGAATCTCCCTAGTATATTATAACTTCCACAGCAAACTCTCCGGTGCGCAACATAAAGTTATAGATTCAATTTCTACCACACAAAACAAATGAAATAAGAGGATAAAAATGCTGAGCACTTATAAGGTACTTAAGGATAATAGAATTATGGTTATCTTCTAAGCTATCTTGCCAGTGTGCTAGATCTAGATTCAGCTATGGTTTGAAATTAATAACCATGTTCCATTACATAGAAACAAACTCCACCTAACTGTGGAACTAGCTGTAAAGAAACTGACCCTGACTAGTTGCAGGTGATGAAGAGAGCGGTGGACTTGCCACAATATTGCGAGCATTGCTTGATCCAGAGGATGCTCCAACAGCATGACTAGCCAAAGTACGACAAAAACTTGCATAACGCCGTAGGCGAGTGATGAAATGTGAGGCAAGATCCAGAACAGCATCAACGTAAGCCTGCACAACATCTATATGAGAATCATTTATACACTGGGATACTATTCAAAACACACACCAATGCTAAGAAGAATAAAATAAAACAACATTTCTGATAAGCAGAATCAACTGTTTTTGACAGTTAAGTAAAATAAAATACTTAAAACATCAATTATTAATTTTTGAAAACTGATAATAAATTACTTATTCCCATAGGAAGAACTCTTTCCGGCATGCTGAATGTTTCACCACATCAGGAATTGCGAAGGAACATTGGCTGAGATTAAATATACATTACTAGTGCAAGAGAATCATAAGATCAATAAGTTGTGCTTTAAGAGCATAAAAATTTTCGAATGAACTTTTTTTAGAGTAATTGGAACTTCTAACCTCCTCTAAAAGGAACACTAATATCACTTCCATTTCATCAACAAAACAGCATAAAGTAAACCATGAAAAAATACCAAAGAATGCTGTTAGACCGGTTGGCCTAACTACAACCGGTCCCTAGTGGACCGGTTTTTGTTTATTCTAGGAGGGGCAGCAGAGAGAGAGAGAGAGGAATGAAGTCCACTAAGAATTCAAATTCAAATCCTTGGAGGGAAAGGAGGGGACGACAAGGGCTCTATAGTAATTTTGGCTTGATTAATTAATTGTATATTTTTAATTAATTAATTGTATGCTTTAAGTAGGATAAGGGAATTAGGGTTAGGGTTATGTTTTGATTATTGTGTTCTTGTGGGAGTTTTCTTCTTGGTGTCTTGGGCCTTAGCTTTGTCTAAGGATTGGAAGAGAACGATCCTCCTCTTGAATAGAGGATCAATTGTATCTTGTTGCTCTTTGTTCAGTTGATTTCTTCTATAAAACTACTATTTTTGGTGTGATTTCCCACCATATTTTGTGAGTTTATTCACTGATTTTGAGAGCGAAATTCCTTTTAAAATTTTCTTGAAGTATTCTCACATTTCCATAATGTCTTTAAACATATAATTTTTTTATGAAATTTTACTATATTTTCAAGGTCTCTAATGTTGTGTCTTGGTTAATTTATAAATCTTACTTTCTCATTCCTTTGTAGTACTTAACATAAATTATACAAAATTTAAGGTGAGGCTGAGTATTTGATTTACACGTAGTTATGCAGGGTTAAAAGAGGCTTGTGTAGCTACGATCAAGAATTCCAGCTTGCAAGTGGATTACAACAATTCGAGGATCATTAAAGAAGTGGGATTACACATAAAATGGGGAAGGGAGACAAAGGAGTAAAATAAAATATGATCAAAAAAATAAATTTCATTTCTAAAAAAGACTAATAAGTATTATTATATGAAAATGATAAGATTAAAAAATAAATGCACTTAAACTCTAGGATTTTAAAATAGCTCATCCTATTACTTATTTTTCCCACTCTTAAAGGTCATTTTTTTTCTAAATAACATCACGCACCTCCTAGCCTCACTATGACATCTCCTTACTAATGAATGAACTCCTTATAAGCTCTTCTAAAACATCTGCAACAAGCTTTTTCATAGGACTTGATATCATCCAATATAAAATTTATGTCAACGAAGAATACTAATTTGCCCCTCTTAACAATCAATCAAAAGAGACTAACAATTTTTTACATATTGAATTCCACCAACTAAGCAAACATTTCTTTTGACAATTTTGATATACTCCTAAGATAAGATCATCAATAACTATGACTTAACGTTGGATGATCAAATTCTCTCAAAATCACCATATAACATTTATAAAAAGATTCTTCTTCAATTGTTAGGAAAATGATAGAAGTTTACATGCTACTAGGAAATCAAATATAAATTCTCTAATTACATCCCAATCTCCTATTTCATACTCATGAATTATCTCATAGATCATCCTACTAAAACTTATATGTACTTTAAGCCCCAATAATTATCCCATTTTACCAAGGTATACATAAAAATTGTTTATTCATAACTTCCTAAAATTATTTTTCAAACTATCTTCTAATTCAGCTTGAAGGCATAAGCGCCAACCACGTTATAATGCCATGATTATAATTAATTTTATATTCATGACCATATTACTAACTCTACTCACCTCAATAATTTCATCTTTCAATTTTGTATCCACTATCCCAATTCCTTCACCAAATTACAGTTCGTAAGCCTTTGCTTACAAAAATGTTTTTAACTTTTCATGTAGTTTCTTTCAAACAAATAATATTTATTTTCTTTTGATACTTGCCCACTAGTTATCATTTTTTATTATAAGTCCCCATATTTTATGTAGTATGTTTTATTTTTAAATTATTAATCGGCATTGCCCGTTTTCACCAACATAGGATAAATTGTAGCACGTTCTAGTCAAACATAGCTTAGTTTCACCATAATCAAATGAAGTTGAAGCATGTTACTCATGAGTGATCTCTTATCGAACCTTTTCCTACTACTTACTACAGTTAAATTAGGTTGTGATGTGTTACTTCAAGGAAATATTGTAGCACTAACAAAATTCAAAATTAAATTCATTTCATGAGCTTTAGCATAAGTTTCATAACTGAGAGACTAGCAAGTAACAGAAACGCTGAGGCAAAGTGGGGCACCAAGAATGCAAAGTAACACCAAGAAGCATAATCAAGAGAAGCTTGAGAGAGAATCCACTAATGCAAATAAAGAGATCCAACAAGAAGCGCATAAGAAAACTAATTGAAAAAAGTTTGTAGATGAGAACCACTGAAAAAAAAAAAAAAAAAAAAACTAACTCCAGCTAGAGAGAACGGATAACCAATGAGCAATAACTCAATGACTATAAGAACGTTAAAGAAAAGTGAAAATTTATGCCCTACTAGTGCACCAAATGCTTAACTGAATCATGAAATTTGAACTCGAATTCCATTTTGAGCTAGAGTCAAGTGTGTAATGCGACAACACAATGTCTAAGCAAGGAAATGTGTGCTCTTTACCACAAGCTCGTGCTTTGTTGACAAGCAGTGTTTAAGACCAGTGCATCACTTTACTAGACTTCTAGATAGAATTTGATTTATTTTGAAAATATTTAGCATCATATTTGTGGAAATACAATTGCTGCCAGTTGTTCCTCCCTGATACCAACGTACAAGCCTTGATTCTGCAACCTACAGGGACCAACAAGGCCATTATGGACCCAACTCTAATTTCACATGTTGCGAGCTTACGACAGCCTCCAAATGACCTTCTAGCTAGTCCTAGTTGCTCTAAACGACTTGATTTCCACTTGTCATCTACAAGACATAAATCAAGCCACAACTACATCCTCATGTAGTCCTGCCTTGGGTTTCCTAATGTGTAATATAATTAAATTATTGCATTCAACACATATTTTATTATAATTGATTAGATGTATGTTCTTAACTATTTTTCTTCCTCCTTAGGGTTGATTATGGTTGATTTATTTTTTCTTACCTATTCATATCTAAATTAAATCTCACAAATTGGGCTATGTTCTCCTATAAATCATACCTCTCCTATGATTTATATATGAAAATATGTAGAAGTTATCTCTCATATTTTTCAACATATTTGTAACTCTTTTTTATAATGTTATCTTTCAATATGAATGCTTTGATAGGAGTAGCTTTAATTTTAAATTGGACTAGATTCATTTTCAAAATATATAGTATTATTTTTAACGTTCTTTCATTATTAAACATTAATATAAGATAATAAGAGTTGCTTGTGAAGCTAAATGAATGCTTTCTCTAACTCAAAATTGGGTAAGTTGATCGCCCCAAGTATTACACAGAGAGCTTTTCTTTTATTCTCACATCTTTCATGTACCCCATCCATCAATTTATTGGAGAGAGATACAATCAAATATCATACCTTTCTTTAAAGATTCATATTATGTGAAATCCCAAACAAATAGCCCCATGACTGACTAATGCGACACCACCATCCCTATGGACAAAACTCTTAATGATTTCTTTTATAATATGATAGATGATAGCTTGGTGATCCATATCTACTTCATCTTAATGATGTCATTAATCAAATAAAACTCTAGCAAATCTATTCACCACTATCTTCGCTTCATCTCCTAAGTTTTAATGATTGATTCATCGTAAATAATGGACAACAATATATCATGGGCATCATCTTTATCATTCTCAAATTCACTCTCCAAAAATATTATATTTATGGATGTCAATCTTATCATTTCAAATCTTCTAATTCATATGGACATGATGATGACAATTATTCCAATTATACACATTTATGCAACATATGGATCCACCTTGATCAAAGCACTCGATGGGTTAGACCATGTGACGCATCGACTTATATCACTACTCTAACAAGTTTCGTCTACAGACAACACCAAGCCTCACAAGAATCAATGCCAACTAACCAAAACACCAATTCAAAATAGTACAATAGCCTTCTCAGCTCCATAAAGCATTTCCTCATAGTATAAAGATAAATATCAAGAATTTTGTGATGACAAACCTCTCAACAACAACAACAACGTCAAGCCTTTATCCACTACGTGGGGTCGGCTACATGAATCTTTTTTCTCCATTGTGTCCTATTAAAAGTCAAATTCTCGTTTAAATCTAATAAAGAAAGGTCATTCCTAATATTTTCTAACCAAGTCTTTTTAGGTCTACCTCTACCTTTCTTAACATAAGTCAAATCTTATACCTCTACTCTCCTAACCGGGTCATCGGAAGGCCGCCGTTTTATGTGACCAAACCATCTAAGGCGACTCTCTCTAATCTTATCTTCTACTGGAGCTACAACAACCTTTTCACGTATATGCTCATTTTGTATCCTATCTCTAAGGGTAAATCCACTCATCCACCTGAGCATCCTCATTGCTGCCACACTTAACTTAATATTATGCTTCTCTTTTGATGGCCAACATTCGGCACCATAAAGCATTGCAGGCCTCACTACCATCTTATAGAAATTTTCCTTAAGTTTGAGGGGTACATTTCTATCACATAACAAGCTCGATGCATTCCTCCACTTCAACCATCCAACTTGAATTCTGCTGATAATATCCCCATCTATTTCACCATCACTCTGAACGATAGATCCAAGATATCTAAAACGTGTACTTTTATTAATGACTTGATCGCCCAAAGTCACAATCCCCTCACTAGGTCTATTACTACTTAAATTACACTCTATATATTCCGTTTTAGATCTACTCAAGCGAAAACCTTTAGACTCTAAGATGACAAACCTCTCAATGATGAAAAATTGAATATCGAGAAAAATTACGAGTTACAAATGCTTCACTATTATGCCTGAGATTGAGTCTAAGATATTATTAGAGGTTAAGACAAAGCTTACACTGATAAAGCGTCCAAGGCTGAGAATGTTGTTTTTCATTAGTGTTTCTAGAAGATTAAGTTAAGATTTATACTCCAATCCACTTACTGCTATTGCAAAAGACATACTATTTCAGATGATTGCAATTTGCCTCAATCATACCTACCAATGATTCAATTTATGCTGCCACGACTGCAATCATCACCTACTCCAAAATTCTTTTACATTGCAAAGGTTTCATAGAAGTATGAAGTTGGTGCCGTCAAACAACAGCCCCTCCAGATTTGAGAATTCCTTGGACTGCTTCATGTTGTCATTCATTGTATTTCATGGAAACTTATTCCATTAGATGATCAAGTTATCCCACCTACTCTACGTTGGTTGCCTCATGCAAATTCTATAGACACAAAATTCTTTGCAGGCAGATTGAACAAATGAAGTACAGTCCAACTAGTTTAGCCTAGAAGAGACCAAATTTTTTATAAATAAAAAAAAGGGGCTGCAATCAGCTACGAAGGAGTTGAACTGAACCAATTTTCAAGTATTTTTAAACCATATTTAAGCATGGCTGAATTTTCTCATATCTGTCCTTGATTTATTTTATTAGTTTTAAAAATCTACTTTGGATAATATCAAGTTTGAATTTGAAAGGTTTGATAGAAAATTTGATTTGATTTCAAATAGGATTAGATTTTGTTTCTGAAATATTTCGCTTTACTATTACAGCCTATTTTTACAAAGGAAAATTAAGCACACACCCAAAACTTGTACATTTACGAAACGAACACCCAAGCCAAAGAAATTAAAAACTAAACTTTTCTATTTGCGAGTGTCATGGATAAGACATTGGGAATTTAACAAAAGCGAAAAATAAAAGTTGTAGTTTTGTTGTGTACTTTGATATATGAGTGGTCGTATTGGAAATGCAGGAAGCTAGTTATTAGTTTTGAAACATACAAATTTTAGGTGCTCTAGACGTATTGGCTATGATGCACCGACACTTCTCCTCAAAGAGGCGTGCAGTGTCCGACACCGTATTCGATACGACACTCGCCCGACACTCCTCCGGCATGTGTCGGACACGCCGAAAATATGTCCGATTAAATAATATTAAATATAAATTGAACACATGTGTCTGACACGCGTATCTTACATATTTTATGAATTTTTTTAAATATAATTTCTTGTATTTGGCGGAATTTAAATTAAATTTCTTATTTTCTATCCACAACACCAAATTAACGTTCGCACTTAATACCCAATTATTTAATATTCTCGTTTTCTTTTCTTTTGACAGTGAATGTATTTTCATCTCCTCTCTCGGTGACTGATAAATGGCATCGACGCCTGACTTTCAACATCTTAATACTAATTATTTTAAGCACAAATTCTAATTAAATGACTTATTATTTTCCAATTATTTTTAAAATTATACTTATTTAATTTTTATACTCTATTTTTTAAATATAAAAACTATAATATCGTGTCCAACCCGTGTCCGTGTCCTATATTTTCAATAACTGACGTATCCCCGTGTCCGTGTCGTGTCGTATCCGTGTCGCCATGTCCGTGTCTGTGCATCATAGCGTATTGGAAATGCAGGAAGCTAGTTATTAGTTTTGAAACATACAAATTTTAGGTGCTCTACACGTAATTTCCCTTTTTTTAAATAAGGATTCATAGCTTGTTTACAAGAAATTAATTATTGAACATTGACATCAAATGAACGAATCATAAAGCCAATTGACTTCTTTCTCAAGATCTAAGTTGATCTGTAACAAAATTTCCTAGTGATATTACATAAGCTCGCAAAGAGAAACTAGAAAGGTAAGAAAAGGTTATACATTTGAAAGGAACTGCAATGATTTATGAATCAAATTAAGGTAATCTCAATTGAGTTTTTTTGGCTCTAGATTGTAAGTTTTCTTCTTTTTTTTTTAAATGTTCCCTTACATTGGACAGAAAGCCAAGTTATTTTTAGGCTCTCTCATTGGATGCAAGTTGATCCATAAGCAACCTCCCAACATAATTGTGTTAGCCTACAAAGAGATGTTACATCAATTAGAAAAGCTCATAGAAATTTTTTCAAAAGTAAACCTAAGAGCATATTAACCAAATTCAAGTCACCGCAGTTAAGCTTTCTTGCTCTAGATGAAATTCTCTCCGTTTTTAGTTTCTCCACTGGACAATTAGCCAAGTTGTGGAATACTCCCTTCCGGGTGGTTGAACAGGCAATCACGTTCATTGTTTCTAGACTAGACATAACACTCGCATGAAGTCATAATGGATTCGGATTAATGGATTGTAAAGGTAATCTTGATAATTTGATCACCTCTCAAATGCAATAAAATTTTATTAAATGTTTCTCTCTAAAACAAATAGAGGTTATAGTTGAAGGTTGCAGCAAACCATGAAATTTTAAGTGCATGCCTAACCATTGAACAAGATAGATTAGGATTATGGAGTTTATCTTTGCCAATAACATCAAGCCTTTATCTCACTACGTAGAGTCGGCAACATGAATCATTTTTCTCCATTGTTTTCGGTTAAGAATCAAGTTGTCATTTAGATCTAAAAAAGAAATGTCATTTCTAATATTTTTTAACCAAGTTTTTTAGGTTTACCTCTACCTTTCTTAACATAGGTTAAATCTAATACATCTACTCTCCAAACCGGGGCATCAGAAGACTGTCGTTTTATGTAACCACACCATCTAAGGCGACTCTCTCTAATCTTATATGCCACTGGAGCTACTCCAACTTTTTCACGTATATGCTCATTTCATATCTTATCTCTAAGAGTAAAAGGCACTAATCCACCTGAACATCATCTCTGCAACACTTAACTTAATATACATTTCCAGATTTGATCTTTGCCAAATAAAATAAAATAAAATAGTTTGATTCATAAGATTTTTAAGCAATACTTTTTCTAAATCGTTTCAATTTTATTTCATGTTTTATGGCCAACAATGCATAAGAGCAATTGCAAGAATCTGAATATTAGCCCACATATGTTCAAACCAAGAAAAGCACCTTGAAATTTTTTGGAAGGTTTAGGAAGATATCAAATTGGAAGAAAAAAAATAAAATCACCAACAAATGGATCACGGCTTTCTACAATATGCATATTCAAGATGACTGGTTTTCATGAAAATGATGAGCAGCTAAAAATATCAAGTTTTTACATCAATATCAAGAAAGATCAGCAGAATACAACTTACTTACGAATAGGTGCAAATATTCCTTTGTGGGAGGAAGTCATATTCAAACTTTATGGTAATTATACACCCATAAAGTTATCATCAAATCCACAACAACTTCTTTGCATATAAGAAAGTACAACAAACAAGTAATCAGCAAAGCCATTACGCCTGACTGACAAAATCAAAAGGTTTTATAACAAATGCTGATGTGCACCTGGATGCTGAGTATCAAAGCTTGGTCAACAACCATTTTATCGGTATCAATGCTAGCTAATGTTTCACCAGAAGCATGCCAAGGTTCCGGTAAAAATGTTGCAGGGTTAATAACAGCAGACTCGATTCCTTTACCCAACATATCTAGCAACAATCTTGCTTGCATATCTAGAACAAGAGCCCTAACATCTTGAGCATTTGTACCCTCCAAAAGTCTGCATTTTATCCGGTCAAGGCTCTACAATAATAAAAGGACAGATTAATAGCTTTAAATTAGATAATTTCAAACAAGACATTAAACTTTTAAACTTCATTACTGAATCATATAGATTAAGAAAATTTCTATAATGGTATATTACATACTTCAAGTTTAAAGACAAGAGTCACAGGATAACATCAGCAATTGGGTAAAGAAAAATATCTTTACGATAAGAATTGCACTACTATTGCTAGAAATGCTTATTTATTCATATAGGACAAAATTGAAAAACCATCAACCCAACACAAAAAAAAAAATTACAGATAATGATGATAATTATGATGCTAATATTAAATGCATTCTTCCTTATTTCACACAATTATGATTTCCAAGCAGGCACTTATTCCCTGACACAGCATTGCTAAAATTTCAACTTTTTTGCTGCAATAATATTGTTAGCATCTCATTTCAACCAGTTTCCCTTCCACAATCTATACTAAAATTCCTCGCATGTACAGAATACTTGAGTGATTAGAATCAACAGCAATGCAAAAAATTAGGGAGAAGTTCATTGACTGACTAACCACTTGACAGATGTAAAAGCCACCATCTTAATCAACATCTCTTTTTATAAGTTAAATGATATTTAACCACATTTAAAATCTTGATTTAGTTGTCGAATGACATACCATGTAAATCAGTGACATTAGAATGCCAGCTGTGTTTCCTCATACCCTGCAACCACCATTGGTTTGAAAAGATTGGAGGAAATGCAAATGTAGCTTACTTCATAATTTCAAACTGGATGTTTGATTCCAATTTAATTATTAGAAAATTATATTTATCCAACAAAAATGACATGAATCCTTTCTTTATTAGATTTAAACGAGAATTTGGCTTTTAATAGGACACAATGGAGAAAAAGGATTCATGTAGCCGACCCCACGTAGTGGGATAAAGGCTTGATGTTGTTGTTGTTGTTGTATATTTATCCAACAAATGCAAAAAAATTCAAATTTTTTGTTATAATTCTTCACAAATCCAGTGAAAAACAGTAAGCAATTGTATGATTTCATTATTGTGAAAATTCTCTCCTCACAAAAAAATATAAAACCTCAACTATTCATCTACCAAAAAAGAAAATAGATATCTTTTCTCACTCAAGTTTTTTTCTCAACCAAATGGATTTAAACTAATTTCAATTGAATTCCTTTTACATTTCAATTTGCATTTTTATTTCAACACTTGCAACTCCTTCAACCCAAAAATAGCCTTGAGTACAAGCAAAATAGTCAAATCAGTACCTAAAAGTGGCTAAAATTGCTAAAATTTTAAAAGGAAATGGAACACCATGTGAAGGTATAAGAAAAAATGTTTTCCAATGCAAACTAGCAAACTCATTTTAATTTTAGATGAGGCTTCAATCCCTCGGAAGGATGAGATTTTGATTTAATGGATTTGTTTGCTACCTACTAAACGCAGTTAATCAAGTTGCGGCTTAAATCTGCCAGAAGGCCAACCAGCAAGACTTACAACCTCGAAGATGAGGAAAGCCTAATAATGAGTCTTACATTCTTGCCTCATACATAAGGTAAGGTAGCCTGATTAGATAAGTTGATTCTTTTTTTTTTTTTTTTTTTTTTTTTTTTTTTTTTTTGTGTGTGTGAGGGGGGGGGCGCTTCCAGGGGTAGAGCTTTTATTCATTTGAATGCCCAAATAAACTTTTTTTTTAATAGTCATTCTTATGAATATTACGGTCGATAACTCTATTTATTAGACATGCCTAATAGGTCAAGCCTTATAATCATGGCTTTAAGGTAAGATCATATTTGTTGTTGCTTTGAATTTAGAATAACTTGTAAGGAGGATCTTCCACGGTTGTCCTATAGATAAGATGGCCTGCATGGTGGATCATACAACCTCATCTTACAGGCAAAGTGGCCCCAACGATATTGCCCTATGGGCAAGGTAGCCATATTAGTGGATTTTACAACCTCACCCTATGAAAAAGCAACTTAATGGTTTGAGTTGACTTGATGGATTTGTCAGCCTTATGTAAGACAAATTAATTGTATTGGGGCTTACTGATAGGGACATCAAATCATGGAAAGTATATCAGAGACGTAGCTGACGATCTACGGACACGATCGCGACGATCTATTTTTGAGTCTTCATATGTATTTGTGTTATTTATTTGCTTTATGTGTTTGTTTTAGTTGCATTTCCTTTTTTACCCTTAAGGGTTTTGTCATGTGTAAGCCCAAAGGGCTAAGTTGTCTTTTATTTTCCCTTTCATTGTATGAGGCTATATATAGCCCCCTTATGTTTCTTTTGGAGGAAATGAATGAATTATAATCAAATTTCTGCACATTGAATTCTTGTGAGAGCTTGAGAGTCTTTGGAGAGAAATCCCTTGGAGAGGGAAGCGGATCACCCACAAACCTTAGAAGAGTCTAGGTTCGTGGCTAGTTTCTTTTTATTTCTTCATCCTCTTTCTCCCTCCCTGCCCTTCCATCCCACGACCCATCCAAAACCCCACCGCCAGCCAAGATCCCTCCCCCACTCCACCTAGCCTCCGTCCAAGACCCCTTCCCCCACTCCACCTAGCTGCCGGCCATCCAAGGTGGTTCCCCCTTGGTCAATTGATCCACTTAATTCCCCCACCTCAACCTAACTCTAATCCAAACCCTAGCCTAGCCGTCGGCCTCTCCCTTCCCCCTCGCCTCCAAATTTTCGAATTCCTCATTATTACTTTCCTTTCCTTTAATTTCTCTTTTGGAAAGGCTTCCAATTTCAATTATTCAAATCAAATTTGAATTTTGGAACGTTTCCTAAAATAGAATTTTATTTTAGGAATGTTTCTAAAATCAAATCCAAATTAAATTTGAATTAGATTGGAATTAAATCCTATTCCTTAATTTGAGAATCCCATTTAAGCAAGCAATAAAACCCTTGCTTATTTCCTCCTAACCCTCTCCCTATACCGTCGGCCCCCTCCGTGCCCCACTTGATTACTTTCCAAACTTCAAGCCTCTCTCTTTGGGAAGAATTCAAAGCCCCTTCCTCTCTCTTACCCGCCCCCTCCCTCTTCCCAAATCACCATTAAATCATTTCCAAATTAAAGGATTAACTAGGGAAATAATTTTATAACCATAAGAGTAAGGCCCAGTATACATCATTTATTTCTTGCCTTGTGTTTGATAATTAAAATTAACTTGATTAAAATTTTAACGTTTACAACTCTATTTGTAAGTTGACAAGAGGGTTTGGCAAAAAACCTTATAGCTTTAGGCATGCCTACGAGTAGAACTTATGAATTCAATATTAACATACATTAGCTCAATAGTGTTTCCAAGAGGGTTGAAATTACAATTTGACATGCGTGTGTGTAGGACTCATGACTCAAATATTAAAGCCGACTCTATGCTGGGTCAAATGACCTTGCCTTATAGGTTGATTTTACAATTAATATTATACTAATTTTTTATTTTGTTTACTTTTTACTTGGGAAAAAGCAGGAGGCCGCAACTGCTTGGGCAAACAATCACTTCATACACACATAGGGATGCCTTTTTTTCTCTACTCATTCATTAATAGAGCTCAAAATTTTAGGCAAGAAAACATTAAACAATGCCTCATTCATTCAAACCACTCTTTTGTCCAACAAAAGCCATAAATAAAAAAACATATTTAGTGCAAAACTGTTAAATTCCAACCATCCCTTGGCATTTTGATCACATGGCTATGATGGGGATTTGTGGGGAGGCTCACATGGATTGCGTCGATCTCCTTCAATATTTAGGTGGCTAATTTATGAAGGATTATATTAGAGCAATTATGTAGGATTCTATAATTATTTGTTTCTTTATTAAGATATTTTGTGTATATCTATAAATAGGGATAAGTTTGAGTAATAAAATTAAACGTTTTCCCTCTCTAAATCTCTGAATTTAACATAGTAACAAAGCCTTGAATCGAAGGAAGCAACCGGGCTTCATTGTCGTTGGAAATCGAAGGGGAGTCCAGTAATCCAAATCTACTTTTTCATGTCTGCGTTCAGAAGAAGCAGGGATCGAGCTAGAACTTCCTGCGTGTGTGCATCTAGCCAAGCAAACGAGAGCAAGTTGAGAGCGAGAGGAGAGGCTCCTCGCATGTAGCTCATACGTATGTACAGTTCAGGAAGGATCGGGCAAGAGGTGTGAGGTCAAGTGGTCCCATGCGAACATCTGGGCGGTTGGTTCGTGCGTACGACCAATTCAAAGGAGTCGAGAGGGGTCTAGACTGAAGCAGGTGACATGTTCGTGAAGCCTAGAATCTAGCCGAGCGAACAGGTGCGTCGATCCACTCATACATGCCAATGGAACAAAATGACATGCGGTATAACGCACGACGCGGTGCGACGCACATATGATGTTACTTACTGTGCATCAAAATAGAGCGCACTATTTGCGCCATGCATGGGAAATGACGCATGGCGCATGCTATTTTTTTAAAATGTTATAAATTTTAAAATATAAATTATAATTATTTATTTTTAGGTTTATATATTAATATCATAATCAATTATTAATTAATTATCCTTCAATTTAATAAAATATCAAAAATAAATAAAGGATTTAATTTTTTAAGGATTTAAAGCTATCATTTTTGTTATTAGGCGGGATTTAAGATAAATTGTGCTTAAATATATTGATGTAAATTTATGAAAAATTTAAAATCATCATTTTTGCTATTTGATCATCAACCTATTATTTATTATTAAATGATAATTAATATTAATTAATATATGCTTTTTAATTATTTTCTATTGTGTGTCATGTTTAAAAAGGTGTGCGTAGCGCCGTGCGCTGTGTCATGGCTCCACGGGGATCATTGCACTCCAAAAATTAGTGATGCATTTATACTCCTATCTACTGCAAATGACATATGGGATGCCACCAGACAAACCTTCTCAAACACTCGAATTGATATTCGAATCTTCGAAATTAAGATCAAGGTGGGAAACACAAAACAAGGAAACAAAACTGTAACGGAATATGCCACTCTCCTTCAAAGCTTGTGGCAAGAATTTGATCACTATAGATGCATAGAGACCAAGTGTTCAGAAGATGTTATCCTAAAAGATTTTATTGAAAAAGATAGTGTATAACCTTCTTGCAGGACTAAATGAAGAGTTTGATCATATTAGAGTTCGGATCATTAGCAAAGAAGAGACACCTTCATTAAATAAGACCATTTCTCTCATTCGTATTGAAGAAAATTGACGAGGGATAATGTTGGAGCCAAATGTTATTAAATGTTTAGCAATTGTGACAACCAAAGAGGCATCATGAAAGGAAAAAAATATAAGAATTTCTTAAAATCTAAAGGCAATGACTCTCTGCAGTGCAGTTATTGCAAGAAATCAAGACACACAAAGGAGACATGCTGGAAGATACATGAAAAGCTCCTATAAGAAGTGGAATGAAAAAAGTGGACAAAAAGTCACATCACAAACTAACACTACAACAAGTCAGCCTACCCCAGAAACGCAATCAAGTCTTAGAGAGCTCAATAAAGATTATATTGATAAGCTAAAACAACTCCTAGTATCCATTGAAAAATTGTATGTATCTTCTTGTCTTGCACTTTCAGGTAAGTTTCTTATATCCATTGGATTAAGTACCATTAGAAATTATTTGAAAGGTTTATAGATCATTGACTCAAGAGCCACATATCACATGACACACTCCACTACCCCCTCATCAACTATACTAATGGTTCTCTTACCACAGTAGCAAGCCAAGGTGACATACTCTTATTTTCCTCCCTCACTCTAAAAAAATGTGCTCCACATACCTCAATTATCCACAAATCCAATTTCCATACAAAAACTTAAAGTGACCATAATTGTCAAGTCTTATTTAACCCTACTTATTGCTTATTTCAAGACTAGGGATCGGAGAAGAAAATTGGGCTTACTAGGGTGAGAGATAGATTGTACCACCTGGAAGAGCTAAACATATCTAATCATGGTTATTCTACACTATTCCTATTTCATAAAAAATCTACTATTTAGCTTCATTATTTTAGATTAGGATATCCATCTTTTAATGTCTTAATAAATATGTACCCAAAACTTATTATGAGTTGGAAAATGGAACTTTCTATTATGAAATATGTGAGTTGAACAAGCATGAACGAGTTTCCTTTCCAAACAAACATGAGATATGTAATACTCCCTTTTACTTTATTCAAAGTCATATCTAGGGACCCTAAAAAATCACTATCTTAGGGGTATGATGGTTTGTATCATTCATTGATGACTGCACTCGAGTCTCTTGGATCTTTCTCCTCAAAAATAAATATGATGTTAGCACTATCCTCCCCATTTTTCATATCATGATCTAGAACCAATTCGAGGTAAAAATAAGAAAATTTCGTTTCGACAATGCTAAAGATTAATTTAACCAAACTCTATCCTCCTACTTTCAAAAGGAATGTATCATTCATGAATTTTCATGCATTCACACCCCACAATAAAACAGGGTTGCATAAAAGATAAAGCATGCAAAGTTGCAGTAAAGTTGTGATGAACTAGAATTCAGGCCATCAAAAACAAAGCTCAGTACATAAAGCCTTGGGCCACAACAGGTGATCCAGCCATGCAAGGCCAATGAGGATGTATGACAGCATCAGATTCCAAACCCATTTTACTCAAGAGTGCAGCCCGAGGAGCCCTTAGTGTTCTCGACCTTTAGTAATATCAGGAAAAGCTCCCCAGGCTGCTGCACCTAGTTGACAAGGAAAGCATAAAGGTAGCAGGCCAAAACACAATATAAGGCTACGCAAAAGTGGATTTCTAGAATATGCATATTCTTAAACTACATGATGAATAGAAATAGAACAAGCATAACATACTGGGCCATATTGTTGTCGGTGTTGATTTGATGGCAAAGCATGGAAGTCTGCATCCAACACAGCAATCACGCTATTCAAAGACACTAAAATAAGGCAAAGGCCAGCATCAGATTTGTGAAAGAATGATACGCCTAACAGCAACAAAAAAAATACCTAATATATACCTGTTGGAAAAGTTTATTTTTAAATTGAATACACAAGAGAGAACAGATTAACAAAATAAAAAACCCACCCAAGGGTGGAATTACAAAACGTGATATTAATGGAGAAGCTTAAAGGAAATTTTGGCATAATATAAGCATATTTGCAAAATATGAAAAGCAAAAACATGCCCCACAGAAGCAATAGTGAGGCAACATCAAATGTACTGAACGTGAATATAATAAGGGTACGCATGCTCCATAACATGGATTTCATAGTTTCCCTACCAACTTGGTTAAAGAAGCTCCACCTCATATGGCCTTGAATACAAGCAATTTACAGTTTATCAAACCCAAAAAAGGTAATAAGGTACCACCAAAACTGTTACTATGAATATTACATAGTTCGGTTGATAAAACCTAAAATCAGATTATTCATTATTTTGAACTTTCTTCATAGAAGTAATGAAGAATGGAAGGCATTGTTGAGTATTTAAAGATAGACTTGGGAGACAGATTTCTAAGAGAGGACACGAAGAAATTTTTTCCCATAAACATGGAATAAAATTGGCCAGACTTAATAGTATTTGAAAACCTAAATGAAATTTTCAAAGAGTGTTTGCAATACATTTTCTAAGAAAAAAGCACATTTTACTGTATTTACCATCACATTATTGACACGCCAACCTTTCACCATATTGATAATGTTCTTTGTTAGGGCTAATAATTTTGTATAAAGGTCGATACTAACTCGACATTCATTGGATCTAAATGACCAAAACTGAAATCAATTAAGTTCATATAGAGGATGGATCACTATAAAGCAACTCAAAATCAATCACTTTTTTACTCAAAACAAACTTGACTCAACTCAAAATCTAAATTTCCAACTTCAGTTCAAATTGGCTTGATCAAACTCAGTTTGACATCACACATTCTCCTAGCTAATTGATGGAGATGCAGTGAAAAGATATCAGATTGCATCAATTTAGGGATACCTTAACGAAAGGGTCCGCAATCTAGAGGGAAAGAAGAAAGAGAAAAAGGAAAGACCAAGGCGAGGGAAAGAAAAACAGAGGGTACACAACCCAAAGGGTAGGAGGATTGGCCAGCCAATGGGAAAGGATGAGAGCTCTAGCATGGAAGACAATTGTATCAACTTCCACCGCTTTTCATTGCATATCATACATGTATAACTTAAATGTAAATATAAATTGATAAATTAAAAGATCATGATCAAAGAAAAAAAATATGTACATGTTAAACAAAAGAGTTTACCCCCTTATAGTGTTAGTTGGAGACACAATGTATTCATGGGCATAAAATAAATAAGATTTAAAAAAGAAAATGAGAATGATTATGTGGTATAAACTTTAGACGATACTCCTGAGATGAATATTATATCAGAAAATATGATATGATATATACATTACAAAATACAATCATCTGTAAAAAGATGTTTCCTTCATCTTATCAAGTACACCTTATGATGACACACAAGCATATTATTCCCTATTTTTTAAAATTACTATATTATTGAATTATATTTAGCCACTAAGATGTGTGAACTTAACCCATTATAAATGCAATATTTCAGATATGATTCCTACAGATTAATTGACTAATAGAGAATTTTTTGTATACTAAAAAAAGGAGCGATTGAGAATAGATATTTAACGTGAGTTGAACTGTACATGGTTTAACTTGTGGTTAATAATTATAATTAGCCACTAAATTGCTGTGTGAACTTAACCCATTATAAATGCAATATTTCATATATAATTCCTACAGATTAATTGGCTATTAGAGAATTTTTTGTATACTAAAAAAGGAGAGATTGAGAATAGATATTTAATGTGACTTGAACTGTATATGGTTTAACTTGTGGTTAATATTTAGTAGCTCTTTGTAATTTTGAAAGATATTTTATTGGATTATTTTATTTATTGATTGAAAAAAATTTAACTACCATCCAACCATTTATTCTCAACATGATATTCCAAGTACTTAGGTTGGGTCATGGCATTTATCCACCCAACATGTTCATAGACCTTAATTTTCCACTCCTTTTGGAAAATAGAGCAATAAATTTTTCAAAAATATCTTGTATAAATAATGTGCAAGTCTGACGGTGTAAAAATTGAAATATTTGCGTTGCCACCCTATCCCATTGTTTGTCTTGATATTGTCTTTTAATGGGAGACCAAGTTGAAGCAATCAGTTCATCCCCCCTGTGGCCCATCGTTTCCTCTGCTTGGTCGGGTTCATCCCCCTCTGTTTTGCCCCTTCGATTCTCCTCCATGTCCGGTTCTTTCCCCCTTGTGCTGGTTGTTTGTTGGTTGAGTCCTACTAGCCTTTCAGGTGCTGCTCCCTTCGACTATCTTATGGCCTTCCGCCTCCCTTTGCTGATTGGATAACTTGGGAGACTGCTTGGGTTGTTTGGCTCCCTCTCTTCTCCTATATATAGCGACTGTTTTGAGGCATTTAAGGATGGAATTGTGAAGAATTTTTGGACCAAAACTTGAGGGTTTTTTGGATAGCTTGCGAGCTATGCCTCTTCGTCTTCTCCTTCTTATATAACTTCGTCTCGGTCTTCAAACCTCATTCTTCTCTCCATGGTTACCAATACATTGTACCTTTCCTCTCAACTTATCTTATTATCAATGTATTAGGTGTTTAAGTGTCTTTTAACGTGTCTTTGTTATCATATCATCGATAATTTGTAGTTTTGTCGTTAAGTCGTCATATTAGTCGTTTTTTCAATATATTTGAATTTGAAGTAGGTCAATTTTGGAAGAGTTGCAAATTTTGTATTTGTAGGCAATTTTTTTTTTGTCAGCATGAAGGTTCCATTTAAATGAGCAGCATGGGTAAAAATGTATGGGAATTGCTCCGTTGTGTGAGTGGGAAGTATAGCTGGGGACTATGTTGCACCCATACGGATACGGCGATACGGATATGACACGATACAGATACGGGACATGCCAATTCTTAAAAATACAGGATACGGATACGGCGTGGATACGGCATTATAATATATAAATAATACATAAAAATTAAGAAATTAATCAAAGTGTAATATTTGAAATAACAAAAAAATTGAAATAAAAGTAAGCATTAAATATTTAAATATCTAATACAACAACAAAAACAAAAAGATAAATTGTCCAGCACATGAAATTTCAACTATTCAATAGAAGGAATGATAGGATTAGCTTCTTCAATGGTTTGTCATTAAGTTTCTATATCATCTTCAGTAAATATCATAGCTTCTAATTCAGGATCATCAAGTGAAAGATTAGCAATTTCTATTGTTCTCATATCCTCAAGAGATTCAAATCCATCTCCAGCAACATCCCACATCTTATTGTCTCCTTCCATATAAGTTAGAGTTTTTCTTGAAAGAAGCCAAAGGTTTGTATGCACATAAACTAAATCTTCAGCTCGTTGTGGAGTAATTTTATTTCTCTTCATTGATTGGATGAACGAGTATGTGCTCCAAATTCTTTCACAATAAGATGAGGATGAAACTTGGCCAAGCAATTTTATGGCGATTGTTTGAAGTAGAGGTGTTGAAGCTCCATGTATAATCCACCACATTTTCGAATCAATTCTCCACCTGTCATGCAATGACTCTTAGTCACCAAAGTCCTCTAAATAACTAAAAAATTTACCAAGCTCAATATTGACACTTCTTCTCTCCTCATTTGAAAAATAACGCTTCAAACATGTCTTCCTCATATTTAAAATTTCTATATCTTTCTGTGGAGAAACTCTTTGAGGATCCTCTTGAAGTCATTCTTTAGTTGAATATCTTCAAAAATATTTAAATGAAGTAATGAAAAAATGTTGAAATTACTAAACAAAAAATTGTTAATTAATAATGAAAAATGTTGAAATTTACCTGGGACTTAGTGAGTGTGCCAAGCAATGTAAAGGTGTATTACTTTTGCTCCACCTATCTTCTAGAATAGCATAAATAATTCCCAGAAGTTCGAGTCTTCATGAAGTGCCTTCCTCTCATGTCTATATATAATTGCTTTTACTTTGGCAAGCATTGAATCCCACATCTCATAAATGAGATGTAAACAAGACTTATCCGTATCAACTACTCTCAACATCTCATAAATTAGATCTGTGAAATTTATGATGTATTCAATCTCATCCCACCATAAATCATCTAAAAACTTCTCCTTTATATATCTAGTATTTCCAACATCTTCCCTATAAGAGGACCATTTGTCACTGATCACCAAAGCTTGAAGAGCATTTTTTATTTTTTTTAATCTTCTCAACATCACTATAACCAAGGCAAATCGAGTTTCAGCAACTACAAGCATCTTCAAATTAGAGAAATCATTGAACATAGAGAGTCTCATGGAGTGTGATTCATAATAAAATTCTTAATTACAACTGTATCTCTAGCAATCACTGTTATTCAATGGCATTCATTGTAGGTGATTTCATTTGCCTCGGTATTCTTAGCTGTACAAATGTTCTTCAAGGCAAGATTAAGCATATGCACAACACATGGTGTCCAGAAAATATGAGGATAAGCTTGCTCTACAAGTAGACCTGCAGCTCTACAAACAGGTGCATTATCAGTAATGACCTGAATGATATTTGAAGGCCCCACCATCATGATAACTTCTTTGATTAAATTAGAAATGAAGAACTTATTCATGTATTGTCCTTCAAAGTTTACAGCTTTAATAAATATAGGATAGCTCTTTGTTACAGCCATGAAGTTGATAAGTGGTCTTATTTGTTGATCTGTCCACCTATCACAAACCAAAGTAACTCCTTTTACCTTCCAAACTCCTCTAGTAGGCTCAAGCAACTTCTCAATATTATCCCTCTCTTTTTGCAACAAGTCTTTCTAATGACATTATATCCAGGTCAATGTTTAAAATTGCGTATTCGGGTATTGAGGCGTTTTTCATTCGTGAGGCGAGGCGTAAGCCTCAAGGCGCTTGAGGCTTACGCCTCAAAATCAAAAGATTGTGTAAACATACAACAACAACATTTATATACTAATGAGTGAATAATATAAAACATAAAAAAACATAAGATATGAAGTGAAATCAAAAAATCTCAATAATAAGACAACATGAAATATAGTTCTCAAAATTCTATCTTTCTCAAATCTCAGTATTCTTTTCATTAACATATAATTTTAATTTCCAAAAACAAATAGCAATGACATATCATATAAGAACTCATAAGCCATCAACACTGTCATCATTAAGGGGTTATTCATTTGAATCATCATTATGATGATCTGCTCTCTCCCCTTCCTCCTCTCCTATAGAGTCCAATGTCGGGCATTTACTTCAAGATTTATGTAAGTTTTAATATATATAGCGAGAGGCATAAGCCTTATGCTAGTGAGGGGAGGCGAGCCTCAAGGCGGGCCTCAACCAAGTTGAGGCGCAAGCCTCATAAAAAAAAACTTGAGGCGTAAGCATCAAGGCTTTTTTTACTGAAATCGTGCAAAGGCGGGCCTCAAGGCGAGCCTCATATTGCGCAATTTTAAACCATGATCCACGTGATTATTATTGCATGCATAGGTAAAGGCATTCTTATAATGTGAATTCCTAGCTAGGTTAAAAGGAAGTCCAACTGAGTAAAACATTCTAGCTATTTCCCCATCTAGTTGTTCTCTCATTTGTAAATTAAATGCTTTCTCCAAAGCCCTATCTACAACATGTTTTCTTCTTTTTGGTTCAAATCCCTCCATCCGAAAAAGCCCCTTATTAACAATATTATCATCACTTCTAATTGAAGAAGATGATGAAGGATATGAAGCATGAGTACTTGGAAGTGAAATATGTTTTGGAAGCTCTTTTTTACTCCTTTGCTCAGCTTCACTGATTTTTCTTTGCAATTCAGCCATTTGTGATGAGCTTATATTCGGACATACTTTAATTCCATGACCACTAATCTTCAACATATGAGCTTTCACTCTATAATATGATCATTTGTATGTGGCATTACAAAAATTGCATTTGAATGCAATATTGCCACCCCCTTCTGACGTTTTACTTATTTTTGTCACATAACCCCACAGAAGTTTGTTATCTTCAATATTGGTCTCTGATAAATCATCAGTAGACTCAATTCCTACACCACTAGAGCTCATTATCCTACGAATGATCGACACAAATTAATCCACATTAATTTGAAACATAAAAATTTTTAATTAAAAGTGTCGATATGTTGCGCCTATGCCAGGGGTCCAAGGGGGTGCTGCCCCTGGCGGGGTTCGACCTTCTCGGTATTGTTTGGTACCATTCGGTACCCCTCTGTACCGAGCAGTACCGAGCGATACCGAGTTTTTTTACCGAGTGGTACCGAGTTCCGGTACCGAGCAGTACTGAGCAGTACTGAGTACCGAGCAGTACTGATATCGAGCAGTACCGAGTACCGAGCAGTACCGAGTACCGAGCGGTACCGAGTAATGAGTGGTACCGAGTACCAAGCGGTACCGAGTTTCGGTACCAAGCCTACAATTAAGAAAACGAAGAATGAAGAAAATCAACCTTCAATGCTCACGTTGCCTTCACTGTTCGTGTTGTCGAGTCGCTCCGTCGACTAAAGATTCTGTCGGCTTTAATGCTCGCGTCGTCAAGCCTCTTTGTCGACGAAGGATGATACTATCTGCTTATATGCTCGCGTCGTCGAGCCGCTCCTTCGACTATAACGAAGAAGACGAACACCTGTGCGGAAATGAAAACCTAGCTCGCCAAAATGTTTAAGCCGCATAAATGAATAGTCGAGCGGATAGCCGAAATGAATAGGACAAATTTGAGCTCTATTTTTTTTTAATAGGACACGAGTATCTGATACGTATGTCCGGTCATATTTATATAATATTTTAATTGGACACGGCAAAGCCGTATCCTTGTTGTATCGGAGGCGTATCCATATCCAACACATGTTTGATACAGCATGCCTCATAAATAGGCGTATCCATGCAACATAGGCTGGGGCCTATGGGAGGTCATGAGCGTAGTGGTTGCCTTGCAGTGAACGGCAATGGAGATTTATAAATTTTAGCTATAATAACCAAATTCACAATAAGGCCTTGGAAAAAAAAAAGCTTGTGGCGGAGCTTTTCCCTGTATTATTATTGGGAAGGGAAGAAGTTGGGGTTGAAGGAAGAATCTGACAAGAAGAGAATTGAGAAATTAGTCAAATAAGCACTAAGAGGAAGAGATACATGAAATAAAGAGAGGAAGAAAGCAAGAAGAAAAGGCCGTGTAATGCAAAATAAATCTCGAGAGTGGAGGCCAAAGAAAACAGTTCCTTTATTTAATCGTCACCTACAGCAAAATATCAATAATGTAGGCACTACTTGAAAATTGAAAATGATAAAATTAAACCTAAACATATAAATGGAATTTAAACAAATAATAATTAACTTTAAAAGGACAACAAAGAACTGTAATTAAGGGCTGAAATAGACTTTTACTAAATCACATATTATATAAATATTAAATAAAAAAAATAAAAAAACTAAATCACATATTATATGCAATTTACACCATGATGATGTAGCTAGCATAATTATGTGCTTCCTCGCTCTTGTAAGTTGATAGATTTTTTTTCAAAATTCTCCATTGTTACAAATGCTCAGCCCCTAATTCTAAATTATTTTTTGCATTCTCATAATGAGATCCACCTGCTCTAATTCAATTAATTTTTACAACATTATCCTTGAAACTCTTGTTTATAATCACACCTACATAATTTCTAGTACGACTCTTTTAACAATGTCGTTGTCAGGTACCAAGTACTGGATGAGAAAAGTTGAGTATTGCACTAGGTAGTCAACAGCCGACGTAAAACTTGTCGATTAATCATGACATGGATCATTTAATACATTGTATTAATAGGAATTAATAAATAAACATGTAAAATGTAAACAACACACTTTCAAAATGTAAAATATAATAAGGGTGTATTTATAGCCATATCTCAAGATAAACTTATAAAAAGAAAATTATACCAAAACTAAAGAAACTAAAACCACTCTTTTAAAAAAAAACAAGTAAGAAATTCAGGGATCAATATCGTTGTTATAATGAAAGAATAAATAAATAATTTTCTCTTTCCTGCTCCCAAAAGAATTTGTTGTCATGTTGATAGTTTCCATCATTAAATGAAATTTCAAATACCATGCATCAGTAAATAAATGTCTTTTCTGGTAGATCAAATAATGTAATACTCACCTATACCATCTTCTGCGGCGCTCTGGGTGCAACCAATGGCATCCCACCAGTCAACTCCAGACAAAAGACACCACCAGAACCTACATAAACAGATTAATTTGCAAACTGAAAACAACAGCTTCATTTAGAACTATATGAAACATTAGCGAAGTCTGAAGAAAACCTGTCTGCAATAGCACGTTCCCATGCTGCGGAGTTAACTTTAGCTTGATAGCTGGAAACAGCAGAAGGAAGAACACGAAATATCTTCAAGGTTGTCCGATCTTTGTTTGTGTCATGCCAAACTGAGGCCAAGCAGCAGCTACTAGATGAGAAGGCTGGTGTTGCAATGGCTGAACCAACATTGATGTGGTAGCTATCAAGTTGATTGAAATTTGCACCAGAAAAAATGTGGACTCCACCACGAAGAAAAGCAACGGCAACCTCACCACCATGTGAAGAATATACTATTTGAGCTAGCTGCCTAACATCGCTTGGAAGATCATATGGGTCAAAGCTGAGCCTCTTTGCCCTCTCAATGCTACTATCAGATGAATTTTTTTCATCGGATATGGTTGATGATGAAGTGCATGGTTGGGGATTTGTCATGTCATCAGTTGGTGGAATGCTTTTGTTTACTCTAGTTAACCATACTGTTTGCATGGGTGGCTGCCCCCCAAAACTAGAGGGATTTCCAAATATTGGATGTAAAACAACAGGTTGAAGAGATGATTCCCAGCACTGGACCCTCCATCCTGTTATCGATGGGCCCTCATCAGGATCATATGGAGACATGTACTGCCCTGCACAGAATCGTGTACATAAAATTTAATTTTTGATTGGATGAAATTCTGTGCATTAAAATTGCTATTTAAAAAAAAAATATTAGATAAATATATTAGATGGAGACTCCAACATTCAAGAGAAGTGCATTAATACCTTCAACTATTACAACTGCAATCATTGACCCTCCCTTTGTTGGATCAAAAGCCACAGCAGTAACTCCTGAACCCCATGTTGTGGTTGCTGCAGACTGAGCAGCAGCTTCAGGGCTTACATATGCAGAAAAATTAGAAACAGGTGAACAGTGAAGTGGAAGAGCCTCGAGTATCTCTTGATCTGTTTGCCTTTTTCCTTGCTTTTCTTGAGAAATTATATACTCTTGCCAACTAAACAAACTTGCAGCAAGAGGTGCAAATCCTGACCAGCAAGGACTCAATGGAGGAGGAATTGAGCTGGTTGTATTTATCTTAGCAGTCACATGAAAGCCATTCCCAGGGCCAGGTGTAACCTCCCATACAACAACAGTAGATGGGTTGACAAGAGGGACACCAGCAACATGCATGATCCCTGCTTCAGTAATGATGGCATCAGCAGCCATAATACCACTTGGCCCAGCTCCTAGAAGCCCTTTGCTTGTTGAAAACCATTTCTGTGGTTCACCACTTTCTGGAGGAGGCCACCGTGCCCAGTGAAGCTGGATGGACCCTGACGAGAAAACTGAACAAACACAAAGAAAGTTTGGCCATCTTGCTGCAAGAAAAATATATTTATCCATTATGTTCAGAGATAGCCACCCAGCAAATTTTGGAAAATTAAAACAAAGGACTGTGAATGAGCATGTCAAAAAAAATGACAAATAAATCCAAACCTGCAGTTTGAGATTGATGTGAAATAAACTTCTCCTCAAAAGTCAATTTTATATTGGAAGAATTGTTAGGATTTGAAGGCAGGGAACGAATCTGAGAACAGAACAAAGATGATCACCAAGTGAATATTACCTCCATCAAAATTAAGTGGAGAAAAATAATATATATATATATATATATATAACGCCATCAATTAAATGCCTGAATCTTCTGAAAAAAAAGACCAAACCTGACATTGGGTGGTACTACAGAAATAGACCATCAACCTAAGACAGCAAGTTAGTTTAAACTAACAGAATGAAACAAACTAAAGTAACGAACGGTTCCTATAAGCACTATTTGGTAGTTTGGTACTGCACTTTTTAACCATTTGCTATTAAAACCATTTTTTCAGCTTCTTAACAATGAAATACAGATGACAATTCAGGCCATACATATGAATGCTTGGGTGCTGGATGGATGCACCGTGGTATACGAATCAGTCTTTATTTTGTTTCAGAACAAATTTAGTGATAGTACCGCAAGGACTTCAACATGACAGTAAAAAATCATCAGCATCTCAAGCATAAACCTCTTGATTGCATGCAGCATGAAATTTTCATCTTAAAAAAATTCTCCAAATTTTCTTGTTTTTAGGCAATATATAACTATAGCAAGGTAAAACCCAACTTTAGATATGTAGCAACCACCCCTTCCATAGACTTAAACAAAAGCTGCATTTTTTACAATGTGTTTTTTTCACCATGTAGACTAGGAGTGACCATAAACTGAGTAGTGCAAGCTTTGAGCAAACATGAATTACATGCACATCATGCAGCAGTGCTACAACTCGACTGCTATCCAAATGCAGTAGAGGGGTGAGTGGGTAGAAAAGGTGGCAACAGAAGATCTGGTGGAATGGTTTCCACAAACAAATGGTTGCAGTTCAGAAGAGAAGAAAGGAATATCTAGAGTTTGATGCAATATTTTTTCCTGATTAAAAATATCCCTAAAATCTTAAACTGATGGAATCTAGAGCAAAATTTAGAAGGAACAAAAAGAATTGGATAGTATGCATGTCATTTTTAAGTTTTGGTCCTTTTAAAGAAGGAAACATTTTATTGTTAACAAAAGTATTAAATGCCATGTCAGCCAACACAAAACTGCTGGCTATTGAAGAAAATTAGAACCACAACTACAATATCATTTCTTACGCTATGGCATTAAGTGCCACATAAGCCTTAAGGATAGAACATAGAAGCACCTACTTCCAGCTAAACAGGAAACATAAAGGACTACCATCAATTTATTGAACATCGACTTCACGAGAAAATGCATATCACTCATGATTTGGAAAACACATCCATAATGTGGATATGCCAAACCAAAAACAATTAACTTGCCAGAGCTGCATATTCATCCTCGCTTGGCTGCCATCATTTTTTCTCACCATAGCTTGGTATGTGAGGCAGCGGTGAGTCTAATTTATTTTTAAAGGGAAAAACTAATCTAACAACTTAAATTTTGTTTCTTAACAATACCATGTCTCATGCAGGATGATTCAAGTTTAGGACTCCCTAATGCAACTATTATGATGTGATGATGTATGTAAATCATTTAAGGAAACTTTAAATCATAAATCACAAACCACTAAATAAGTCAACACATTATTTCCTTTTTAAGTGTAAACGGTAACTAGGAGAATCAAAACTCAAATGATAATAATGATGGAAAAAAGCTCAAAGAAATCAATGAGAATTTTGAATCAAGTAAAAATAAGCAAGCAAACGTAATTTAATCGGTAAGCTAAGACCTTTAACTTGCCTAGGGCTGCATAATCAACCTTGCTCGACTGCCAACATTGTTTTTCATTATGGTAAGGTAGGGGAGGCAGTGGTGACTCAAATTTTAAATTTTGCAGGGATATACTAGCCTAACAACTTAAATATTCTTTTTTAAAATGTCATAGCAGATGCAGGACAATTAAGGTTTGGGGCTTCCTAATGCAATTATTATAATGTGATGTATGTAAATGATGCAAACGAACTTAAGAATTTGCATATCACCAAAACTGGTAAATAATATAGCAATATTTTCTTTAAATGAAAATATTAAACATAAGAATTAGAACCCAAACCATAATGTAATGTTCAAATAAATTTGAAGTCATCAACGATAAATTTGAATCAACTAAAATTAATGAGCAATTGTAATTGAACAAAATCAAGAGCATTAGCAAGCCAATAACAAGCTATGTAGAATGAACTAAGGAAAAATGGCTAGAAATCTAGGCCTCACTGTGATAAGGAGATCACATCCCTCAAAATTAAGAAGTTAGAATTATACTTCGCTCGAATGAATAACATATCCAAGTTGCACACACAAGATTGGAAACTATAAGTTGAAACAACGTTTAAAATTGCGCAATAAAAGGCGCGCCTTGAGGCTTGCCTCAGCGCAATTTCGACCAAATAAGCCTGAAAGCCTACGCAATAAATTTAGTTTATGAGGCTTACGCCTCAGGTTTACTAAGGCGCGCCTCGCCTCATATATTTAAGGCGTCGCCTTTTTAAAATTTAACCTTTTTTTTTCAGTTCGGACCCCCAGTTGCCGACGCGCGCCTAGTGAAATGTCGACGTGGCATCAACATATAAACCCTTGTAAATGTCGAATGGTGGAGTAGACGTTTCGATTTTCAAGTTACAGTAAACTTTCGAACTTTCAAGCATTCACCCGGAGGAATTTCAAGCATTCTTCACTCAGTTTCTTCTAAGATGGCGTCACCCCCAAAGAAAAAGGTAACTTAATGCTATGTTTTCTGTTTCGTAATGCGTATTTTATGGTTATGCTATGCGTTGGCGTTCAAGGCTCTGAAGATCTTCCGATTTTATGCTTATTCTATGCGTATGCATGGCTTCTCGAAACT